CTCACATATACTAATGTGCCACAAACAGGACTTTAATATCACCAACCATTTCCATGTTATTACGGTGTATCCATATAAATGGTCCACCCTGTAGAAGGAAAGTGGAAGACAATAGATGGATGAAGTACTGAGAGCACTCTTCTCACCCACAGACTGTCTGTTATAGCAGTCACAGTCTATAAATGATATTCAGGTTTTTGATAACACAGCTGATGTACACAAAAAGAAAATAGCAAAGTCAAATATTTATGTGTTGAAACCAAAACGATGGTATTTAATGTGCTCATTTCAAATGTGTTTAATGTTTCCACTATAGACATTTTCAGCAGTGACTATCTATTTCTTTCTGAGTTTGGTTTAGATATTCAGGTTAAAAAGCAATCTGAATGATTCTTAATGAAGTGTTGTTTACATGTGTGCAGTACTCTGAGCGTCTTACACCTTTTGAGAATAATATGAAGAATGAATATATGTTTTTCATTGCCGAGGCAGCCCATTAAAGTTGGTTGTTGGTTGGATTAAAGCTGGTTCTAATAGTTTGTGTGTGTTTTAAATCAGGACTGAAAGCCTGCGCCATCATCTTATCTTTGTAGATAACTTTTAAAAAAGGTAAAATATTATACTGGATAATCTATTAATATATAAAGCTCTGTTTCAGCTTTGAGGCATAAACCCCACATTGAACAGTTTGTCACAGTTCTTCTCTCAGTGTGATTACTGGAGCTGCTCTCAGCTTCAGACCTCAGCACCATTCAGTGAACTCTAATCATCCCACGTGCCCAAATCTGAATACGTAGAACTTCATTTATGAAAAACATACAAAGGCTAAACTACCATGTTATGTACTGTCAGTGAAACCTGCAGTTGTTTCACTAATAAAGTTAAAGACAAAGTCTCAAACATCCATATAACATGTATCATTATATACAGTATCTCACAAAAGTGAGCACAGCCCCCACATTGTTGTAAATATTTTATTAAATCTTTTTTATGGGATACACTGAAGATATGACACTTTAATACAATGTAAAGTAGTAGTAAAGTAGATATTCTGTCTGTGCTGGTTTGAGTATCCCTGGTGTGTGGGGATCGGGGATTCTGGGCATTTCTGCTTAGACTGCTGCCCCTGAAATGGAGGGATGGATCAATTTGTGCCACCTATAGTATCTTCGTCATACACCAACTGCTTACTTGATACATATGTAATTCTTTGACATGTTGCATGAGAAAAATAAGGAAAAAAGCATCCAGTAACCGATCCTTTAAGCTCCATTTGTACTTGGTATCTGGACATTCGTGTTTCAGATGGACATCGTATTTGACTATGAGCAAGTGCTGGTGACAGTAGGAACAGGAACATTTCCATTCCAACAACAAACATCCGCAGAAATGGGCTCAAGGAGGGGTAGCCATCTACTGCCACCAGTTCTCTATCACATCCAGACTATCTCACCACTCCGTTTCCCATATGTACGGGGAATGATCCCCTTTGTCAGGGCGTGTCGATATGACCTTAAGACTCTCCACAGCTATAAACAATAAAACAGCAGATACACTGATCGTTTGATCTCCACTTCACTGGCTGCCTGTCTTTTGGCAGCCTCCCAGGATTGCTGTTGCCACATTGTTGTAAATATTTTATTAAATCTTTTTATGGGATACACTGAAGATATGACACTTTAATACAATGTAAAGTAGTCAGTGTACAGCTTGTACAACAGTGTAAATTTGCTTTCACCTTTCAGTAACTCAGCATACAATCATTAACATCTAAACTGTTGTCAACATAAGTGAGTACACGACTAAGTGTAAATGTCCAAATTGTGCCCAAAGTGTCAATATTTTGTGTGTCAGCCATTATTTTTCATCACTGCCTGTTGGGCTTCACAGGCTGCCACTGGAGTCCTCTCCCACGCCTCCTTGGTGACATCATGGAGCTGGTGGATGTTAGAGACCTCCACCTTCCATTTGAGGATGCCCCTTTGATGCTAATAGGGTTTAAGTCTGGAGACAGAAACATTATTATGTATAATGTTTTCTTTTTAAATCCATGTTCACAAGAAGTCGTAAGCAAAGGGACACTTTACCATGACGACACATTTGCAAAGAAGGAAAGTTTAATCATCAAGTTAATCAAATAGACATAACTTCTTTTTTTCACACAAAACAATACATGTTTTGTGTGTATTGCCTGATATCACACGAATTGTCACATAAAACTAAACAGAAGTTGTCAGCTGAGCTCTGCAGTGGGAACTCACAGTGAAGCTTTTCACTTCAAGTTGTAGATTTAAGCTGCTCTTCGTGCTTCGGCCACCAGATGCTGTAAAAGAGGACTGTGTTGAAAAGCTTCGAGTATTGAATCCTGTTTCAAATTATTCGCGCCGATGCTTCAGGGAGCTTCATTTGGCCATTGCTTATATTTACCTTCATTTTTCGAGCCGCCAGTCGCAGTGAAACCATCAGCAGAGAAATGAGCAAGCCAGGTAATAGAAAGCGTGAGTTATAAGCAGCGACCCCAATCACTACTGCAAAGACACTGGCTCAAAAATGGCCCCGTGAGTGGGAATATGTGAGGTCAACACACACACACACACACACACACACACACACACACACACACACACACACACACACACACACACACACACACCCATGAGCCGCTGGATGTTTATCTCACATACACATGGGTATCTGCTGAGCTCTAAAAGAGCGAGAGCATGAAATTTGAACTTGCTGTCATTCACACATACAATCTTCTCCAGTGGAACACGGACTGCACCTGAACACAATAGCATGGTCATTTTCAAAAGCAATAGTTGGAGGCCATCTGGTGGGATCGACATACTTCACATACTGCTCCTCTCAGATTGATATTTCATGGTTTTAAATGAGCACCAGCTCAAGACTCGAGCAAACCTCATCTCTCCACACAACAGAGCAATGACAGAGACAAGCCCACAGAGATGCAGATACAAAGATTTCCTGCCAGATGCAAACATCACCCACATGAGGTTTGCAGAATACTGAAATGAAGGTAGGAGTCTGAACCATTTTCTAACAGCTGCACTGAGCAGTTAAAGCTAATTATAAATTTACTAAATACATTTATAAATATAAACATCTAAATGTAAGAATGAAATATATTTCATATTTAGTGGTCATAATGAAAATAAAATCAGAATTTAGTCATGTTAATCATACTACACATTATCGTTGTTCTTATTCGGCAGCACTTCACTGGACTTCTTACAGATATTTACAGAGGGGTGGGACTTAACTGTCTTCTCCAATAGGAAATGTGATCTGACTTATTAAGCCAGTCAGATCACAGTTTGAGGAAAATGACTGACATTATGTAATTTTTCTTCAGTATTATTTTCTGTTTATTTTTTTCAATTTCTCTGTTAATAAATCAAGAATAGAAAAATAAAGTCGTGTATAGGAAGCAGTTTGGACCTTTGTAAGAAGGAAGCTCTGAAGGAAGTTGGCCCCAGGGCGGCTGTGGCTACAACTGTAGCTGCCTCCACCAGTGTGTGAATGGGTGGATGACTGGGTGTGTAAAGCGCTTTGGGGTCCCTAGGGGGGGCTAGTAAAAGCGCTATACAAATACAGGCCATTTACCATTTTTGATGGTAGGTATAAAATCTTCCAGAGTGTCTCTTTACATATTTCTACAGAGTTCACTGCGTGCATTAATATATGTAACATTAAAGTACTAGATTAATGGACAGGTTACATAAATGAACTATTTCTCCCACTTCAGTTCACATCTCTATTGTTACATACTATTTACAAATTAATTTCTCACTTCCATATCCATGTAGGGTGGCCACGGATCAGGTATCAGAGCAATTCATCTACCAATCAGATGGTCAGTGGAACAATCTCCAGCTCCTTCTGTGGAAGTATCAACAATCTTAGACAAGATACTCAAAGCACTGTTGCTCCCAGTGCATCCATCAGAGATAAAAGTACTTAGGTATAGATTTAAAAAACTGTGTGAATGTGTGCGATTGGGTGAATAAGCCTCACAGCAGAATGTGCTTCGAGTGCTCAAACTGAGTAGAAAACACTTCTTAAATACCAGTCCAGTTACCCGCCTATACTAATGTTTCATTCTGAATAAATGTCCCATGTCCTGTCCAAAATATAAACTGGCTTCAGCATGGCTTTCCCATCCTTGAGTTGAATTACTGTACCATGAAATCATTAAGGGTAGTAAAGGCAGCCCTGAAGAAATGAGGTTAGCAGGGATGGAAACAAGCGCTGGGAAGAAATGGTCAGGTCTGTCGGCATTCCAAGAAACTGGCTCTAGATTGTGTAATTATGTGAGACTGCAAACTTGTGTTATGGGAGGATTGTGAGTGTGAGCACTACGCAGTATAAAATAATACTAATGCAAGAATATTCATTTTACACTGACTTTAATTCATGGGAAATTTGCCAATAAATATAGAGACAAAAAATAAAATACAAAAAAATGTCAACAATTTCACAAAATGGAACAAGCCATTCACAAATGCCAACACTTAGCCTTCTATCTGGGTCTATCCTGGGAAATGTTTTTTCTGCTACCGAGGTCTACTGCAGAATGTGGACTCTAATCAGAAATGCAGTGTACTATAAAACACTTGAGGATGTGCAGTTTAGATTCTGATTAAGCTACACACCAGAGAGAATATTTGGCCGTATGTAACAGGATGCTCAGGAAGACATCACTCTGGGAAAAGAAATTTACAGGCACGTTCTGACTACAAGCTAGCTCAGATTTTTAATTTGTCTAAGAAAGTGGCACGAGGATCCTAAACTGCAGGTTTCAATGCTTCAGCTCAGGTAACAGCTGTTGGTTGACTACTTCTTTGCTTCCATCCATGGTCTTTCTTCCTGCTGGAGCAGAAGAATCGGGAGGTCTGGATGATAAATCAGATGAAGGCGTTGGGCCGGTTAGCCTCTGGATTCTAGAGATCTGTGGAAGGTGAAAGAATGCATTAATCTACATGGTGATATATGACCACAGCTACACAGTCTATCAGCCAGACCCCATTTGTTATTCAGGTTTATCTAAGCAGCTATGTTGTTGTCACAGGGTAGATCCAGGACATGTTGGAGATATTCCGTCTGTGCTGGTTTGAGTATCCCTGGTGTGTGGGGATCGGGGATTCTGGGCATTTCTGCTTAGACTGCTGCCCCTGAAATGGAGGGATGGATCAA